TAAATTTAGAATTAAAATCAAATTTAATTTGATTTTCTTGTTGGACAGATTTACCCTTACTTCTAGCCTATAAATAGATGCTAAATTCAGCTTTTCAACACACACTCTCTACAATTAGAATTCACTCTCCAAGTGTTTTCGAAAGTTGTTCTCTCCGTGCTTTCCGATCAGAAGTGCAATACCACCAGAAGTCCACTCCGATTTCGAGTGTACGGAATTCGGAGCGACCATGTTAACCTCAGGGGACGGTCCGCCTACTGCAGCTATTACACACATTGGGGGGAATTCATTTCTAAGGCAGTGGTTAATACCACGACACGATTAATCAGTTCTTTATTTATATATTTCAATATATATCTTTCATGTCAGTGCTAATACCTCGTTTTACACCAGTCTATTTTATCAACAATTCGCATCTCCCGGCGTCACTTTAAAAGCGCCGCTAACGAAATCAACCATGGATTCTAAGGAAGTGGCGTAGGTTTTGGTCTTTCCTTGAGCTGGTGCGTATTCGCATTTCGAAAGTGTATCTTCCATGGATTTGGCCAGGGGAGAACCGGAGGAGATGGAGAAGAGCCGGAGGATTTCTGAGAGTTTTGTTGATGAGAAAGGGATGGAATCTGCTACTTTCTTAGGCAAAAACGGTGATATTGCTGGGTCTTTGTTAGGGAAGAAAATTTCTAGCTTTCTTCCTGCTTGGAAATTGTCATGTAAGTCATCGACGGTGAACAATCCGCCCTTTGAATTCTCCATGCTATCGTGAGAATGGTCCCAGAGTATTTCTCTACTAGAGCTTGAAGAGAAGGGTGTGAACTTTTAATGTTAAATTGTTAAGAATTATATTTTAAAATATATTGTCTTATACTTACCCTAGATTAATAAAAATATAGGATAGTTTCAATTAAAATTTGATAATCGGTTAAATTATGGTAATGTCAATTTATCAACGAACTATCAGTATTATATATATCATTATTAGTGTTGATAGTATTTATCTAAAATCAACGATATAACTTATCTAATTTGTTTAGTTGAATTTTTAATATTTTCTTTCTATAATTATTTATTATATACAATTAAATAATTTAAAAAAATGTTCGATCTTAAAAATATGCAAGTGAATGATATCAAAATAATTTTAATTTAAAATAAAATAATTGATAAAAACATCTTCTTTAAAAGTTTAATTTATTTAATTATTAAATAAAAATATAATATTTATATCAATAAAATAGTTATAATAGAATATAAAGTAACATGAATAAAATTACATATTCATATTGATTAGTTTTATATAGTTGAATGTTAAAATTATTATTAGTTAGTTTTTTTCTCATTGGTGTACTGCTCAACTCTTTTCTTTTTCGTCTTTGTTGATTGACGGCGACATCAACTTTAATGTTAATGGTCTATCGCCGGTATTTTTTATTTTTTATTTTTTTTATATCGTATCTTTATTTTTTTTGTTTTTTATATTCAGTAAGTCTGCCTATGTTGCATGTTTTTATTTGCCTTTATGGCACGCTTTCTTATTTTTTTGGCATGTTTTTCGCTTCTTTAGCCGTTTTTTATTTATCTTTTTTCTAATGATTGATTTGATATCGTCACGACTGATTCAGATGACGCTTATCTAATATCTTGTGATATACCCTGTTTTGGACCCTCATATTGGATTTGGATACCCGATTTGCATTCGTGGATAGTTTTAGACGTCGCCCGAGTCTGATTTGCGGTTTGTCATTTTTCAATAGTTTGATCCCCTTTTGTGATTCGTTTACCGATGGGATCAGATCTGTTTGTATATATCTTAGTTTAAGTTTATCAGTTAAATTTAATCTTTCTTTGTATGGCCTTTATGCGATCTTAAGTTATTAGTTTTGTTTCAACGATTATAGGAAATTTTCCTAATTATTTGTTTAAATTACGATTATGATTGTAAATCTTTATTGTAATCTGAAATATTTTTTATTTTCAATAAAATTAATTGTTTCTATAAAAAAAATTATTTGTGAATTTTGCCAACAACAAACACACGTGCATTATGTAGATATTCTCGAAGGTTCTTGTTGAAGTTTTACTTGTGCAAATTATATTCGAGTTAATTAATTAATTAATAATAAATATTTATAATGAATGATTTTAAGAACATATAAATTATAACTTCATAAAGGAAAAGGAAATATATTATTATACGGAGATATTATCTGATGGACTCGACTCACCACATCATCCATAGTCTCAACCAATAAGATTCATCAATCTTAAAGTAATTTCTGAATAACCGCTCACTCCTTATGTACATGTAGGAAAGAGATAAAGATTTGGGGATGAAATATATGAACACAACATAATTCACGTGTACCCTATTTCGAGCATCAATTTTTCATTCATCACTCAATCATTTTGAGCATATGAGATGTCGTTCTAAAGATCTCGTGGAATGAAATATGAATCAATAAATTGATTATTCGAATCTTCACCTTACTCTTAGAAAATATACCTAAAAAATTCCTAATTTATCACATCTTTTTCAACATCTTTGATTAGTTGATTTAACGAAATGATAATGCACAAACTTTTTACGTGGATTATTCAAGTAAATCTAGACGTTTTTAGTAGAATAAAGCTTCGCTATAGGGAAGAATCAAACAAGCAGCCAGATCGGATTATAATTTAATTTCTTTTAATAAAAAATCTTTTGAATAATTCTTATAAGATTTTTTTCGATATTCAAAATGTTTGGATACAGTGGCGAATCTAAAAAAATTTATAGACTATGCCAATATAAACATAATAAAATTTTTATCTAACATAATTCATACAAATTTTTTATCTAGGGTAAACTAACTATTTGGTCGTCCGTCTATTACTTAATTTATGTTTTGGTTACTTAACTATTATTTTTTTTTAAAATCATAGCTAACCTTACATTTTGGTTCTATTTTGATCACTCACCATTAAAAAATTTAACGATGTTAACATGCCATTTTTTTATTATTTTTCAATCATGATATGTCATTATCTTATGATGACACGCTACCTTCACTGCTAAATTTTCAAAGATAAGTGACCAAAACAGAACTAAAATGTAAATTAAGCGTGATTTAAAATAAATAATAGTTATATGACTAAAATAAAAGTAAATAATTTATAAGTGACTCAATAAGTAGTTTCCCCTTTTTTGGCATGAGGGGGGGCATGGCCTAGGCTTGGATCCGCCCCTGTTTGTATACAAAGTCGAAGATCCGTTTCCATAGGTAATTTTTCCTTGTATGTTGAAGATTAGAACTCATAAATTTAATAAAGATTTTTTTTATTAATATATGGTAAGTATAAAGTCGTATATGTTCAAAGATAATTCTCAATCATTTCACATTAAACGCTCATACACTTGACGTTCTTGGTGCTCGAACTCATAATTTCGAGGAATAACAATAAATTTTTTATTACTAAGATTGTTTAGTTTGTGTTAATAATAAAGATTAAATTAACCTTAAGATTCAAACTCATTATCAATCGAATGAGTCATTTTGGTAAACTTAAGGTCATTGAACCAGTGACCCAACAAGTAGTTGATGAGAGTAATTTTGATCCAATGTCGTACGCAGTCTAATTATTTATTCCAACGTGTTATCAGATTTTTTTATTTTGAGAACTACATTATTTGTTATAGTGATTTGGAACTCGTCATGTCGAAGTGAAAAGTATATATTTTATTAGAATTTATCATTCTGACGTGACTAATAAAAAAATATATTTTTATTAAAACTTATCACTTTGACGTGATGAATTTAAATAAAAAAAATATTATTTGAATAACTCATTGTATGAACGTGACGACCATATACTGTAATATTTATCGTGGATTCCAACTTATTTTTCGAGATAACCTAATGGGTTAATAGGAGAAGATTTGAAGACCCGGGCCTTGAAATGGTTCGTATCTGTTTGTTTATTTTTGAAGTTGCTTGTATTTCATTCATTTAACGTTCATTAATATGTTCATCATTATGTTCTGTTTATATATTCAGAAAATAGTGAGATTACATCACTAGTCCTTAATCTTCTTAGGCTTCACAGTTTAAACTCCAAAATTTACCATATATTTAATTTAGTCCCTAACTTTACTAATATTTAAAATATAAAAAGAGGAAATGGAAAGTCATGTAAACGAACTTATAAGTGAGTTGATAAATGAACTTATAAATGATCCAACAAATGAGTTTTCAATATAAGCGGATCAAACAAACTATTTGTTTGTGTTCATTCATTTATTAAATGAACATAAAAATTTTGTTCGTATTCATTTATTTAATTTAATAAACGAATAATTCACGTAAAACTCACAATAATTCATCAAACGCTATGTTCGTTTACACCCACACACATAGAATGTTGGATGCAGCTACAAGAGATTATTACTCTTAAAAAGATTACTCATGTTCAAATCTTGAAAAGGACCTTTCCAATAAGGGCAACCACACTCCGGGAGCCTAAACAAAGGGACCTAGGCCCAAAAAGAAACAGGCCCTTAGACTACCGTTTTGTTGCAGTAGCCTCTTGGTCTAATAAATGGTCATTTTGACCTAATACTGTACGCGGGTTAATTATTTAATCCAATACGGATTAATTTTTTTAGAACTATAATATTTACTAAAATGATTTAGAATTTATCACGAAGTGATAAATTTTAATAAAGTATATTTTTTTATTAGAATTTATCATTTTGACACGATAAAATTTTAATAAAAATTATATTTTATTATAATTTCTTACCTCGATTTGATAAATTTAAATAAAAAATATTATTTGAATAAACTCATTGTAACTAGTTTATCTTGTATTATAATATTTATCGTAGATCCCAAATTAATTTTAAAGGTTAATTTTTTAAATTAATTTTAAAGGTTAATTTTTTCATCCGTCTGGATATTGGGCCAATTTTTCCCTAATAAATTACTTGTATCAAAGATTTTGCCATTTTTGCTTTGCATTATCTACCTGTTTATTCGCGAAGAAACTCGAAATCATTCTCTTATGGGCCTTAATATCCTCAAAATGACACCATTTCCTTCTTCTTCTTCTTTCTCCAAAGCTCTACTCCTTACCAATGTGAAACCGGCCACTTTCGCTAGATGTATCAGTTCTTGTTCGATAAATTCTTCTGATCCTGTTCTTCCGTGTAATTCTCGCTTGAGATTTCCATTTTCTTCGCCGAAGGCCATTAGCTGCTCCGTTTCTTCATCTGGGTCCGGTGGGTTCCTTCACCAGAGCAAGCGCAGGTACCGTGGGAGCGTGGTCGTCGCCATGGCTGCTTCTGGGTCGCTGCAGAAATCTGAGGAGGAGTGGCGTGCTATTCTCTCCCCTGAGCAGTTTCGAATTTTGAGACAAAAGGGCACCGAGTAAGTTTTCATTTTAAGCTACTGACACCGTTGAATTAGAACCCTTCTAGGGGAAATTGTATAATTTTGGGCTTTTGTTGTTTTCGGATCAATTAAAGTTTGTAATATAATAAATTACATGGAGGATTAACATCATTTTTGGGATCATTTTGAGCTTTCGATGTGCAAAAATCTGTTCGTTTAGCTGTCTTGTTCATGGAATAACTTCTAGGAAGTTCATTCAAAGTTTTTACACGAGCGACATAGCGATATTTAATATGATTTACTTGTTATTTTCTTTATATTTTCTATTGATGATCTAATTTTATCCTCTGACATGAAATAAAATTCTGCATCGGTCCATGTTTTCATGCTGTATAGGTATCCAGGCACTGGAGAATATGACAAGTTCATTGAGGAGGGTGTTTATAACTGTGCCGGATGTGGCAGTCCTCTCTATAAATCTACTACAAAATTCAATTCTGGGTGTGGTTGGCCTGCTTTCTATGACGGTCTCCCTGGAGCCATTAATTGCAATGTGAGCTTCCTTCCTCCTTTTTCGCCCTCTCTTGCTTGTTTTCTTCTATATAATCCGGTGTTTCTCCGTGTCATCGTAATACCGGTGTATCTTTCATGTAAAATTTACTAATGATGTGAGTGTGATGTTTAACCAGCCGGACCCTGATGGAATGAGGACAGAGATCACTTGTGCAGCTTGTGGCGGACATTTAGGCCATGTATTTAAAGGTGAAAGGTTTCCGACGCCCACGGACGAGCGCCATTGTGTCAATAGCATATCACTCAAGTTTGTTCCTGCAAATTCTGGGTAGTTAATCATGTTGATGCTATTCATTCTGTATAAGAACATGGCCGTGGTGGGGATGTTTTAGATGTTAACTTGTTCTAATAAGAACTGATGTGAATTCTGGATTGAATTATACTTTTGTATTTGTATTACTTCATGGTTTCTTGCATTGCCATGCAAAATGTTTTCCGAGTTTCGTCGTTGAGTTAGATATGGTCACCGGGAGGGAGATGACATCCCGGGCGTTTTGGAGTCTGTAAAGATGAACTTCATGGATATGGTTTACTTTGCCGTGCTGTTTCAGATGGTACCTGGTTTCAGAACTCAGATGAGTATCATATATGTCTATCCTTTCCTCTTCCTTTTAATTGTTTGATAATTCAATTTAAATATGTTTAATTTCACTATACATAATCTTTCGTTCATCGAAAATTACTTGGATCAAGAAGGTTTTGTCATGCTTTCGTCCACCTGAGGGCAAGAGGAAGGCTTTGCTCGGCCCTCTGCCAATGGCTTGCCTGCTCAAGGGCCATCTGACGACATTTTTTTCTCTCTAAATCTTTGGGTAAATTATTACATTAGTCATTAAACTTTTGGTTTATCTTGTCTGTCTTTCGTGACCACCCTAAGTACCGATAAATTTGTCTCAATGTCCTCCACAATTTTAACGATTTGAATTTTTTCAAAATATCTTTAAAATTCACAAAGTTAAACATACAATTTATTGTTTTTGGGATTTGAGGAGTACGAGATGTTTATTCAAATATCAGAAAGATGGTAAGTATTTTTTTTCTTTGAGAATACAAACTAAATACTTGGAAACTAGTCTCATGGAATGATTGTCGGAGGATATCAAAGCATTAGAGCGTTTTTTAGATGATTTTTTATCGGTCTTAAGTGAGTTTCGTGAAAAAAACAATGTGAGAAGATAGAATAGTAAAATGTAATATTTTTGTACCAATTTTATTATGAATGATGATTGATGATGAGCGATGACATCAGTAAGAAATGCCATATTATCACACAATTAACATTTTGATTAACCTAAAATTTTCATATTCAACTACACATACTAAAGAAAAATCCTTAGAACACAACTCACTGAAATCACGTTTGATTGGGAAGATATATGGAGGAGCTGAAGTACACTAGGTTTTGATGATAAAAATCTGAACCTTATCCTCCAACGTACAAGTTTGTTTTCTCTTCGGGTCTTACCAGTATCCGCCACGTGTACAAACACTGCCCCACCATTCAGCAGTCCAAACGGATGCCACTTCCTACTTGTCTTTAACCGAACAGATTCCTATTAGTCCTCAAAACACAAACTACTGGTCGAGAAAGCTCAATTCTTTCCACGAGATTTAACAAGAGCTCAAAGAACACAGCTTTCAGCCATGTCGTGGCCGCTTTCCATCCTCTCTTCTTCATCCCCTTAAAATACACGCAAGAAACATTAACTAATGGATATATTAAAAAAAACCCAAAGTTCATTTTTTCCTTCTGTTTTCGAGGTTAACAATTCTTAGCTTGAATCTTTAGTGTTTCTCAAGGAACCAGGGAAATGCCTTCGAATTTGTCTGCTTCAGGGTCTTGAGCCTTCAATCTTTGAACCCTTTTAGCACCATGTTGGAGTCGGTATCTTGTTGCCACAGCCCCAAGGTATGCAATCTCTTGTCGTTGATATTTTGTTTATGTTTTTCTTGAACGATTTACGTGCCAAGCCATGGTTGTTCTTGCTTTAAGTTTCTTTTCAAGAAAGATTTGAGCTTATGGTTCACATGTATGTTTTGTGCCCTCTTTTGAGCCTTTTGCCAAGTTTTCCAAGGCCAGGCTTTGCATATCTGGTTTGAAGTTCTGGATATTATGCTGATTATGTTGGTTAAAACGTCTTTTATTTGGATTCAGTGTGATCTATTGGTATTTCAAGGACATAACTTCAGCTATTTCTATAATTTTTTTAGAGCTGTAGTAGTTGTTTGGAAATCAGTTTTTGCTGCCAAAATGTGTTGAGAACTTGATTCTGTAGAACACTAGTTCAATAGAAGTACACGATTCTACTTAATGAGTTTCGTGTTAGCTCATGGTTAAACCTTTTAATTTATTATTTGATTCATCATTTTCATCCCAATTGCAGGGTTATGACTTTGTTAAACGAAAGAGCCGCGGTGGCACATACTCTCAAGCTATATCGTGGTTTTCCGGGCATTCTTCTTACGCACCGTATGTCAATAGCACGCTCTTCTGTTCTCGATCATTATCTGTAAAAGTCGGAACGAACAATTGCACTCATGATTTAAAGCATGTATTCGGTGGCACGCCTTCTCCTCCTTTGGTACCATCTAATTTGAGAGGACTCAATTTCTGCCATGATAGACTGCTCCGCCGGAGAAGGTCACGAATCCATGCGACAGTTGAGGTTGCAAGTGCTCTTGATGTCATCAATGATTTAGGACTGGATACTCTGACATTCTTGGCTGTGACCGTCTTGGTTGTTCCTACATTCAAGATATTTAGATCAAGCCCTGTAAGACTACACAATTCGAGTAGCATTAGTGTCACAAACTATTCTTTTTTTCCCTCCCCGTTGCGATTTCACGGACCGGCATCACATACAAGTTCCTCCTACATCTATAAGAATGTAGATATGTGCTTAGGTTTAATCCAAGGGAAAACTTATATACTTGTAAAGCACGATGTCTCATTAGTTACTTGAGGAATCTTTAAATATTTATTCAAAATGGAAGAAACTATAGATGCTGTTCTTATCGATTGATAGTCTTCGACCCCTAGTAATAACAAAATGTAAATTCTAAATTGCTTCCAGATACTTGGCTTCTTCTTTGCCGGGGTTGTACTGAATCGGTTTGCATTGATTAGAAATATTACAGATGTCAAAGTCCTGTCTGAATGGGGGATACTTTTTCTGGTAAGTTCAATTGCTTAACTAGGTAAGATGTCATTTTTCTTTGCTTTATTTCTGGTAATTTTGGTCTAATACATTTTCCTTTTTAGCTGTTTGAAATGGGGTTAGAGCTTTCACTTGCGCGCCTGAAAGCTCTTGCTAAATTTGCTTTTGGCATGGGGTTGACTCAGGTATAAATCATATTTGTGGAACTGTTATTTTAATCCAATAGTACATCGGGGTCGGAAATTTCGCATTGCGTATAAATCACATTTGTAAAACTACCAAGCAATGATACAATGGAAATGACAGAGAATGAGTTAAATTGTTAGAACATGCAGGTCATGGTCTACGTTTTAAGTGAAATACTTCTCCGAACTAATTTCGGATGAGTTTTTTACTTCTTTAGCAATAGTGCTTGGAGGAGCAATCAAATTTATGTTGTGGAATCTGTATCTGTTTTCGTTCTTTCAATTGTTTGAAGGACACTGACAAGTTCCTTGGAATAATACTACTCTATGGCTACAGATATAAGATCACTATATTTAGGGTGTACCAGTAAGGTTCAGTTATGGACCATTTTGACTGGCATTGTGATTTAATAAAAGCCGTTATTCCATCTTTCTTACAGCATGGAAGCACTTTTATTTTATGTTTTCCCTTCGGATGCTAGGTGAATGATACTTTCTTTTCCTCTTTCTACATGTTACAGGTCTTCTTTTCCACCCTTGCGTTCACTGCATTTGAACTTCCACCTAATGGGGCGGTTGGAACCAAAATTTTGCAGTTCCTATTTCACTCTGGATCAGACCTGGTGAGAACACTTCATCACAGGCTGTTTAATCCTTCTTGTACCCACCTTTATTTGCCTAATGCTTTAATCATTCTCTGCTACTTATGATCGGTTTCATACTTTATTCTTTCCGTTTTCCATGTTGTTTTCGGTTGGGAAATCGATTGCTTGATTTCATTAGCTAATTCAGAATTAGTTAGTAGTGATGTTTATAATGTGAATGTTTTAGACAGCAGTTTATATATTGGAAACAATCTATTAACAACATATTAGAGTCATCCCTTTTAGCTTAATTTTCCTTTTTGTAGGTTAATATCAGAAGCGTTGATGAAGCGATAGTGATTGGAGCTGCTCTATCTCTATCTTCTTCAGCTTTTGTTCTACAGGTATTCTTATTGTCGATATCTAAGGTGGTTGGTTTGTTTTGCAACTTCTTTCATTATTAATGGATATGTATAAATTTAGATTTGCTACTTGTCGAAAATGTTCCTCGCTTTGCGGTGCTTTTAGATGTCAATTGTTTCCTTCCACTGATATGTGAAATATACTTGCCTGATAGAGCATTGTAAAGCTTACGATCATAAGATACAGCTTCTTGCAGAGAAGGGTGAGCTGCCAACAAGATTTGGCTCAGCAACTCTGGGGATACTACTACTACAGGTTCTTGCCTACAGTCAACATGCTTGCCTCATTTGTTCCATTTTGTGGGCTTTTTCTAGACTCAACGCGAAGTAGACATCGAAATAGGATGCCAGTAACCTCTTTTGGACACTTTTTCATGATATTTGCAGGACATAGCCGTTGTCCCTCTCTTAGTCATACTTCCAGTTCTCGAGAGCCAGGTATAGAGGAGTCTTTTTCTTTTCTCCCTGGTTTTCGGTCGCTAACGTCTATTTATTTCTTTCATTTGTCTAGACAGGCATCGTTTCTCCTTTAGTTGAGTTCTTTTTTCTCATTTCATGTGCATGATTAAAGAATTGATATTATGAAAACATCAGATACCGGTATTATGATACTTGGATGAGAATAAGTCCAGAAATATCATTCTTGGAACAAGTTTTCGTTAGGGGAAACCTTTTAACCATTGTGATGGTTAACAGTCTCTTTTTTTCTCGTTTATTTGCTCGGCTTCAAAGCGATTATGATATTTTGTATGTGATCATCAGATATATCTGGGAGGCACTGTTGTCTTTGAGACTTGACCATTTTCAGTATCTTTTTCAACTTTGCAGAATATAACAGAGGGCAGTATTTTGCCAATGCTAATTCAAGAAAGTTTAAAGGCGCTACTCGGGCTTGGTGTGCTTTCTCTTGGAGGAAAATACATTCTTAGGAGAGTTTTCGAGGTTTGTCGAGTTTATTACTAAAGTGAGAAAAAAGAACAAAAAGACCACACTTTTCGTTTCCTGTATAACAACTAACCTTGGTTTCTTAAGCTTTCAGGTTGTTGCCGAAACAAGGAGCTCCGAGGCCTTTGTTGCTCTCTGCTTGCTAACAGTTGCCGGGACTTCCCTTATGACCCAACAGTTGGGCTTCAGTGATACGGTTTGATATGTATTCTCTATAGCTGATAATGTTGATTGATGCATTTCAAGCCTTGTATCAAACTACATTCGATTTCGTTATGCAGCTTGGAGCATTTCTGGCTGGAGCATTACTGGCAGAAACAAATTTCCGGACACAGATCGAAGCTGATATACGACCATTTAGAGGCTTGCTACTTGGGTTATTTTTTGTGACTACCGGAACTTCGATTGACTTGCAGGTATGGTATAGTAACCATTTCAAGCAACTATGCTTTCTAGAAAGATTCGACCACATGAATTTATGTGGTTTTACCTTCGAATGTGTAAATGCAGCTATCACCATAAGTAATGTGTGCAGTATTGATGCTTCCTGTTGTTTGATTTAATGCAGTTCATATTTGCTTCTTTTGCAGCTTCTTTACCGAGAGTGGCCGAGTATCCTTGCGCTCTTGTCTGGTTTGATTGTCATCAAAACATTGATCATTACAGCAATAGGTCCTCGTGTTGGACTCACCTTGCAGGAAAGTGTAAGAGTGGGATTTCTTTTATCACAAGGAGGCGAGTTTGCGTTTGTCGTCTTCTCTCTAGCTAACAGGTTCATCGGAGCTCAAATCAATGGAGTAACTAATCTCTTTACCAACACTTGTTTTATGCTTATAAAGTCTTCTGCCATTCTCGAGCAGCCTTGGAGTCCTACCGCTTGAGCTTAATAAGCTTCTTATCATTGTCGTGGTACTCTCGATGGCGTTAACCCCACTGCTTAACGAAGTCGGAAGAAGGGCTGCTGATTTCGTCGAAGACAAGTTCAACAAAGATGTATGTTCATGATAGTATTTCGTTTTGGTTTCATTGATGGCTATTTTTTGTATTCATCATCTCGCTTCAAATACGATTTTATCTGTGAACTTAAAGAAGAATTTTTCACAGGGTGATGAAGATGAGACGGTGAATTTCGATGCAAGTGAACCAGTTGTTATCATTGGCTTTGGGCAAATGGGACAGGTACATCCGTTATGACGCAGTAACAGCAACTATGAGCATGTGGCTGCGACTAATATAGTTTTTACTTGCAGGTACTCGCAAATTTTTTGTCGACTCCGCTCATTGCTGGAGTAGATGGTGACTTCATGGGATTACGTTATATCGCTTTCGACCTCAATCTTTCTGTTGTAAAGGTATCCAAATTTTATTGTGTAAACCGAGTATATACTACATCTTTGCCGACTGGTCATGGTATTGAAAAGATATGTTACTGCATTTGCAGGCATCTAGAAAACTTGGTTTCCCGATTCTCTACGGAGACGGGTCACGTCCGGGTGTTCTGCAATCTGCTGGTATCAAGTCCCCGAAAGCTGTCATGATTATGTACCGAGGAAAAAAGAGGACAGTTGAAGCTGTTCAAAGGCTTCGGCTTGCCTTCCCTTCGGTAATGCCTCTCTTCCTTGTTCCCACCGGCTTTGTGATCTGTAAATGCGCACACACACACACATATATATATATATATATTCATTTGTCTGTAACAACGGTTCATTGGCCGTTGTCGGTCGCTTCACGCTTTATTTCACGTTCACCTGAAATTCGTACCTCGAGTAGGCTCACTACTAGTTGCTCCTTCTCCAACTTGTTCTCTACTCTTGTTTTGAAAGAGAACGAAACTTTGTCCCCTGGCTGGACTACTAATCTTCGGCTAAAACGTGCTTTTGAGAAGGTTCCGATCTACGCAAGGGCTCAAGACCTCAAACATCTCTTAGACTTGAAAAAAGCCGGTGCAACCGATGCGATTTTAGAGAATACAGAGGTACCTACAAATTCTGCTTCCCCCTGCATTGCATTATTATGACAAGGTTCAACTGCCATGCTTCAGCTCCCTTACATCGTATTTACCCCATGCAGACGAGCTTACAACTTGGATCCAAGCTTTTGAAAGGATTCGGTGTCATGTCCGATGACGTGACGTTTCTGCGTCAGATTTTTCGAGATTCCATGGAGTTACAAGCCAAAGAAGAACTCAGCAGAAGCGATGATCGAGAGCCGGATATTATGAAGCCACTGCAGGTACGCAGAATGCTTTTACATATACAGTTTGATAGATGTGGTTCATTTTTTAACCATCATCGGGCAATTGATGAACTTGATGAATTTAACTTTGCATAGGCGAAAATGGCCAAGGCCGAAGTGTTGACATCACCGATCGCATCCGACGATAGCTTCACTATGAAAAGCCTGATAGATGGAGTTCAGGTTTCCAGGCTTGAAGGCGGTGGTGATCGGACGGATGACTTGTTAACCTCGTCCGAAGGCGAATCATCGGGAAAAAACCTGACGGATTTAACTAAAGTACCCCTGTTTCAAGTGGCCGAAGTGGATCTAGAAAAGAACGACGGCATACTTAATCGGTCCGAGAACCCGGAATCCGTGTTGTACGGTGAAAATAGATAAGAGGGAACGTCGTTCCGAAAACATCACGGCGACGAAGTCGGAAATACAGTCAACACCTTGTGACGGACATTAGAAACAACAAAGCTTGAAAAGTTTTGCTCATGTTCAGTTTTCTGAAATCACACCCCCACCTCCATGTGTACTCTATCAATATAATGCACAAGGAGCAATTATTCTTTTTGTACATTTACATTTTCATCATTTAGAACATTGTTTCATGGTCAGAGAAGCACGACTGGATTAAATAAAAAATCGAAATCGATTGGTTTTGACTTGATGTTATAAGATAATCTTTCTAAAAGCCGATTCGAAACGAGTCGAGTCGAATTTTATAAAAGAAAAAGTCAAAATTTGAACTTAATTTAAGATAAACTCACTCCAACCGTCTAAGAATATTTAGAACAATACGTTTATAAGTAAATATATTGGCGTGATGTTAAGATTAGTCCCTAATGTTAATTAAAATAGTATATTAATTAAAGTATAATTATATTTTTTATTTAATTAAAATGTAATCACTTATCAAATTTTAAATGTTTAATCACTTAAATTTCAAATATCATAAGTGAAAAAGTAAAAAGTAAATAAAAGCGATTATATATTAATTAATAAAAATAAACATAATTTAATATTATATTTTTTAAATTTAATGAAAAAATATAATAGAATTAAAACAAGACTAAATTATAAATTTGATAACTGAGCTTTACTCTCTCTTATTTCACTTAGTGTACTTAAATTTTTTCAATTTCCTCACTGAACTTAATATATTGGGTTTTTTATTACTCGGTCATTAAATAGTTAACGACGTTAAAATGGGCTGCTATATAGATGCAAACGTCGTTGTTTTGATGAAAATTTTGTTTTACTAAACGACATCGTTTTTAACGCAATTAACTATTTAACGACGGAGTAGCTGGAATAGGAGTAAGAGTAAAGTTTAGTAAACCAAAATCCAACATATTAAGTTTATTTTAAAGTTCAGTCAGCAAAACAGTTGAGAGAGTAAAACTAAGTTATGGGATTTGTAATTTACCCTTAAAACAAAAATGACTAATACTGTAATTTACCCTTATTAATTGGATAAAGTCAGCCCCGCCAACATGTTTGTTCTTGAAAATACCCGAAACAAACCAACTGAAAAACCCACAGACTGTTCTTCCCCTAAAACCTTGTAAAACACCCCACTGAAATACCCATTTTTGTATATTTGTAATTTGTGGTTGATTAATTTATTTAAAAGTGAGGTAAAACTTCAACGACGACGATTCAAGTGGTCGTAGAAATTGTTTTTATATTCTTAAATTTTTTTTAATATTTATTGTAACACCCTATGTTTTATTAAGCCTAAAGTGTCACATTGGGCTACGGGGTAACTCATGATTTTCAGAACATGTTCATTTCCTTTTCAAACATACCAAATGATATCATAATTTAACATAAATAATTGTTGTAAAACATTTTACAAAACTAGAACTTAGTAACATATAATTTAAAACCAAAATAATACAAACTTTGAGTTTAATAAATCGAATACACGAGTAAGGTTCCATGAATGCATATGCCCACTAAATTACAATACAGTACTCTGAAGGAGATGCTAGGAGTCCTGCTGTGACGGTGCTCCACAAACTGCTCAAGTTACTGACCTACCAACGGAAAACATCCAAAGGCTGAACTTACAAAGCCCAGCAGTATAATCGTTAATCTAGAGTAGCATAAGAATAAACACAAGCATGCTGAAGACATAGTACTAAACAGTAGGTACATGCATGATCTAGATCAAGAGCTACTTACTTAAGGTTTTACTGTTCTGTCGCTAAAGTAGGAGTTTCAAGCTTCCCTTAGTCCTCTGCTATGGACCTCGTTATGAGTACACCTCTAAAGGGTCTGTAACCCTAATGACTGTAATTGTTGTGCATTATCTAAATGCGACTATAATATTCCTATGCATTAGAAATACACCACCTTGATGCTAGGATCCCGAAATGAAGCTACATGCTTAACCACCTACATTTCTTGGTGATTTGGATGAAATCCACACCTTTTTCCTTAACTAGAAAGAATTCAAGACTTTGATTCAATGAAATAATGTTGTTGGAAGGATTGAAAACAAAATTGAAGTATGAAATGGGCTTAATAACTTACCTTTGTGTAATGGAAATTTTGGGAGAGGAAGAAAGAGATGAAAATGGGAAAATAGGAAAAAATGAAGAGAAGAAAATGGTGAAGAGAAACAAAAAGCCTTTCATCTCTTTAGGAAGGGAAAATTACTCAATCGGTACTTCCCATTTTTCCATTGTTCAAAAATCTCCTTTAAATGGGTAATTGGGTTCGACTCAAACCCAATTAAACTCAACGATTTAATTTAAAATTTCTACAGGGTTCACTTACCTCTTGGGTAAATTCGAAACTACTAGCCGAAAATTTGAGGTGTTACATTTATTATTAGGGACCAATTTTTAAATTCATCTCGGACCACCAAAATCTCATAAACGAGAATAGATATGGTCTTTATCTATAAAGTTAAATATTTAATTATAAAGAATTTTTATTTTATAAGAATTTATAAATCAAATGATCTTTAACGAGGAGAATTGTAATAGAATTTAACTTAAATTTTAGGGTTAAATATACGGATGATCACTTATGTTTGTATTTTGTTTGCTTTTGGTCACTGATTTCAAAAAAACATAAGATATGGTCACTTTCGTTTTTATTTAATTAAGATATGATCATTTTCGTTTTTATTTAATTAAGATGTGGTCATCACGGGTTAATTGTCATTAACATTTAACAGAATATGCGATATAATAGTGTGTATAATCACACATTTGGTTTCTGTTATTTACATAAACTCTCAATTTATTTATATTTTTAAATAAATTTTAATATAAATAAATATTTTTAAATTTAGTTAATAATAAAATATATTTAATAAGTTCATATAAAAAATATTTTTTAAGTTAATATATATTTAAAAATTATGAATTTAAGTATTTACACACTAAGATACAAAATATACACATCATTTGGTCTACTTTAAACCAAACAATGATATTGGCTTAATGGTTAGATACATGTTTTGTTTTCTAAGTTACCAAGGTTTGAATTTTTTTGTTCCAATTTGATTTCCTTTGTTTTCTTTCAACCAGAGGGTGACACGTGTCACTCTTTTATTGATGGAAACAAATATATTAAATTAATATAAAGTTAGTCCTCAAACCGAATGGTGACACTGCATGACATATGGCATCACTCGATTGGAGGATTAAATTTATTTTAATTTATTAAAAGTATGAGTAAATTGAGAGAATATGTAAATAATAATGTCCAAACGTGTGATTATATCAAAATATTTAACTGTTGTTGATGACAATTAACTCGGGGTGACCACTTAATTAAATAAAAACGAAAATGAGTGTATTTTATTTTTTTAAATCAATGATAAAAATAGACAAAACACATACATAAATTAACATCGTGAAACTAACCCTAATTTTGACTAAAAAACGTATAGCATACATGTTCACTCTTCTGTTGGCATTGTGGCATAGAACTTTCTTCGAGTGTAACAAGACAAATTCGAGTTGCCTCGATTGGTCATCTGTACTATTCGAGCACGGCACCAATTCTCTATAAATCCGAGATGCAGGAAACCATGTTTCCAAGTTCTTGGCAGCAGCAGCATTTTAAGAGAATCAAAAACATTCACCACGGTAAATGAATTCAGACAAAATCTTGAAAATTTGCGTCTTGTAAATGAATTCATCATGTATCATTCTAATGGCACAAATGTTACAGCTTAAATACAATAACTTAGAAAGGAACTTGGAATTCCCTCAACACTGCTATTAAACTAATTCAAGCATGTAAATAAAAAATGTTTAAAGAAAAAGGGTGGCTAATGATTGAGACGATTATGATACACGTGCATTATGCTACTCTCTTTGGCAGCTTTTCGGTGCATGAAGGCTATGAAAGTTTGGCTCTTTTGGAATGGTTGTATGCTTCGCTGAGATGATGCCTTCTTGGCTAAGCAAGTTCCTTTCTCATTATGATCAGGGCATCTTCCTTATTTGCACTGATTTGAGCAGGCTTCTTCCTACTTGATGCTACCCTGTAAGAATTGGGAATATGATTTATAACTTTACAGAACATTTAGATTAATCTTCATTGATGACAAAGCAAAGGGTGTTTCCGGATTGCTAATTACCCTCGTGGTCTCACTAGTTGTTCGACGATTGGTGATTTAGTTTTCTCTAATCTGCCCTCGGATTTTTGAGCTGCCTTGTCTTGGCCTTTTTCCATCAGTGATGGGAATGTCATCTTCTGATGCATAGGAACAATACGTTTTTGTGGAGTACCATAAGAAATCTTTGTTTTCGCCAATACTTGTGGTTTCTTCAAGCTAGAGGTCTTGATGGTTTGCTACAAAGTATAGTGCCATAAGAGTACTTGTTAAATTACCTAGATGACCAATGGACAGATACGGAAAGCAAAGAGAAAACCAACTTACCGGTTGATCTTGAAGTGTTACTGTATCTGGTCCATTGTCACTGTTCTCATTTATCTGTAATCAAGGGGGGAAATCCATTAGTCCAGGGCATGGTATATGAGTCTAAGCTCAAAGCACTCACTTTGACATTCTGATGTTTCCTCAATGAAATTCCACCTTGGGATCCTGGAAAGGTGGCTGTTTCTTTCAATGGTGCTTGAAGATGCTTCTTCTCCAAGTTCGCTTCCTTTAAGATTCCTCTTTCCTGAACAGCAAGAAAATTATCAGATAACATGGAAAAAATTTAAACCTCTTTTCATCATTTCAATAGTATCTACTCCATAAACAATGCATACATCAGTTCTAAGACGAAAAGGCTTGGGATTTGTAAGCTTTGGTTTTCTGTACTTCATCCCTAGAGCACCTTTATCAGCTGTGGAGTTTTCTTTCATTGTCTTATTCATTACTTTAGCACCCTGCATAATCATGAATATTATAAAGTCAAATGGCGACGCACAAAATGTCAAGAAACAGACGTTACACTTACAAAGAATATGACTTTATTTAATAAACTACCTTCTGAATGTTTTTAGAAGTCTTGCCCCTCCCAAGAACATCCTTTTGCACCGGCTTTCCCTTGGCACAATTCAATTGTCTGCAATTAATTGTAGTGAAAATTCAATGGTGAATGCAAGTGAATAATAATAAACAAAATCATGGGGAAAAAAGAACAAGTCATGAATTTCATACCTATTTTCATCAGAAGCAGTTTTATTTTCCTTATTGTTTTCACTTACTCGGATGTTAGTTGCCAAAGCATTTTCTTTCTCATCATTCACTGTTTCTTCGGGGATTTCAATGTTGTCAGAACATGTTTCAATGTTCTCTTCATGGATGCTCCTCTCATTAATTTCATTGTCCCCTTCAGACTCTGAAATGGAGGCCATCTTACTGCTAGTGGGAGATGAAATTTTGATATTCTCGCTAACTGCTTGCTTCAAGCTATCTGAAGGACTCTCAACCGAGTCTTTTTCATGTGGTTTTCGATGCATAGGAGCCTTGGACAACGGAAAGTCTTTGTTGCTGTTCTTCTTGTTCAAAGGTTTTACAGATTTAGCTTCTTCATTCTTCTGCTTCCGGCAATGCAAAGAATCGTACACTCGGCTTTTAATCTCTCTGCCTCTCAACTGTTTCCTTGGAACATCTAAAGGTTTATTATTACACCCCAATGCATTCTTCTTACTTCCAACATTAATCTCAAGCTTCTTCATCCCTGCACATGCCTTCCTTAACGAACTACTCCATTCTACAGACTTCTTCAACTTCACTACCTTCTTTGGAGAGTGAAACACCAAAGCCTTTGCCACCACTCTATCCTTTGGTACCTCAATTGTAGTTAGTTTCGGGTTCCGAACACTTCGAAAAGTACCGGGATTCAAAAGCCCTTTTCGGTTCCTTGGTGTAGTCAAGGCCTTAGTAGATGACTGCTTTACAGCCTTCACATTTGGGGTAGTTGAACTCTGCTTAGGAACATGTCTGACTTTCACTTTGGCTTCCCCCATCTTTTGTGAAATGGATGAGATCATAGCCAATTTTGACACTCTAGACTTTGAAGACTTAGCAGGAACTGTACGGGGGCATTCCAATTTCGACCTAAAACCACAAAAAAAAACAAATCAATGAAGAAAACAAAAATGCAAGTCTCAATGAAGAAAAACAGAAAAAGATTTCCATGAATATACCTCGAATCTCTTTTGCAAAGAGCTTTCCGAAGCCCAACACTTGGACTTCTAGCTGCCATAACCTGAAAGATTCAACTGTTTAAGTTCAGCAATCACTTGAAAATATGATGAGATGCGATTCATATGAAGGGGGAAAAGGGGGCAAAGTATGTACTAACCCTAAGTACAAAATTCTTATAAATTGCTTCAGAGTCCATTTCTTCTTCGTGCTTTTGATCACACCCTGAGGAACAAGAAGAAACAATCATTGGGGCATAACAACGAACACTTGTTTGTTTCAACCAAAAAGTTATTAAACCCGAACACAAATTCTAGCTTTATCTTATTTAAAAAACGATTATAGCTTCAATCAAACACAAAACTCACCGACACGGAGGCAGAACCAGTAACGATCATCGTGTTCGGTGTGGCAACAATCAGGTGCGGAGAAGTCCACGAACTTCGGAGCTTCAATCTCCTCGTAGAAATCGTCGCCAATTACTTCTTCACCGCCGGCATCGTTGATCTGAAATTCGTCCATTTTGCGGTTACCGTAGGTAGAAGATCCGATTAAGAGGAGCGTAAACTAGCCGGTAGAGTGAGTTTGGCACTTAGTATTATCTCTTTTGTTCATTGGAAGACGTTCCCCTGAGCCGATTTTTTTTAAAATTTGTTGCAGTATCTGGAACTAGCCGTTATGGACATGATCGTAATATAGTTTGCATTACAAGGGTGTTTTTGTAAATATCGAATAATTGAGACAACAACCGTTTCCGTTATGGATAATGGATTCGTATTGAATTCAAGTATCTGAATTCGTTATCCACTTTATTCAATTAAATTTTTATTTACTTTTTAATGAGTTACATTTATATATGTAATAATCTTAAGAATTGAAATATTATCTCCCTTAAAAAATTTAAATTCTCATGTATTTTAGATATTTTTTTATATTTTCTATTGATAAATTTTTTTTTGTCTTTCTCAAAACATTATAAGTCCGTCCCTTCTAAAATTTTATGAATTTACCCCTTAACAAAAAAATTATGTGTATGCCTCTAGTTACATATTTACAACTATCTTACTCCCATTGTTCTATTTATACCCAACAAGGGGTTGGCTAAATTCATATGCTAAAATCTTTTGAGTCAATGTAATTCATATATAGATATTGGGATGATGGAGAGGTAGTCGTCCTCTAAAACTTTAAAATTATTATATATTTTAATTTTTTTATATATTTTATATTGAAAATTTATTTTTTCCTTCTGAAATTTTATAAATCCGTCCCTGTATAGATATCTATTCCATTAATTGTGGGAAATGGATTGGTCTTAGTTAGGGATGGCAACGGACCGGGTTCGGGCCGGGTATTGATCCCTCTGTCCCCGTCCCCGTTTAAAAAACCGCGGGGATTTAAACGGGGATCCCCCTTCGGGTAATCGGGGAAAACCGCAGGGAAACGGGTATCCCCGTTTAGCACAAACGATTATTTAAACGGGTATTGGGCCAGGTATTGGGTCGGGTATTGGGTCGGTATTGGGCTGGGAATCGGGCCGGGTATATATATATATTTAAATTAAGTATATATTTTTTATTTAAATTAAATTTATTAATATTATATATATATATAATTATTTTTAATATTTATCGGGTTGGGTAATCGGGTAATCGGGGCGGGGATTACCAAACCCGTCCCCGTTTAAAATAAATGAGTTTTCCCCGTCCCCGTTCCCGTCCCCGTTTATCATCCCCGAACCCGACCCGTTTAATTCGATTTTCCCCATCGGGTTCGAGTTTTTTTGCCAACCTAGACTCTTAGTCAAAATCAAATGCCACATTGAACTATTGAGTCCATTATTTTTCTAGGGTTCTTTCCAACTACAGCTTAGAGATTGGGTTTTGATATGATTGATTGGGGTATTATCGGAAGGAAACGTTGAAAAACATTAAAACAATGAGCCGAAATTGCCAAAGAATGGGACCCAATGACCTTAAAACTAAAAGGGACTGATAACATAATATAACTTGGTCGGGTCGGGTCGGGTCGGGTCGGATAAGTATTTTTCACCTTAAACATGACCTCGTCCCACCCTAAACCCCAAATTAAAAAAAACTCGTCCCTCTAAGGTCGGTCGGAAGCCGTCGGCTTCTAGTATTTTGACCATCTCTAACATTAAATCTCAGACTTTGATAAAGAACAGGGACAGATAACATATTTGGACCAAAACTAGAAATCAAACTTCAAACGAACCAAGAATAATGAAATGAAGCTAATGACAAAGTTATGAACCTTTACCAGAATCACTAAACTATGGACGCCTGCCAAACCGAGTTTAAGAGGTCTCAAAGTTTGGCAGTAATGGCGTTTTAAAATCACAATGAAAACAGAAAACAGAACCTTTCAGGAACTTAAAACACAAGTCCTCTTCATTATATATAAACTACCCTAAGCTGCCTTATTTCCCAAACCAATCATTCACACATTGTTCTTTCTTCTCCACTGATCTTCGTATTATGGCTTACCAGTATGTAGTTGCAGTGATAGTTTCTTTACTGGGGTTTGCCTTTTTGTACAAGAGAATAACCAGCGGCAAGGAAAAAGCTTCTTCTTCCGTGTTTGGAGAGGAAAACTGTGTAGAGTTAACCGGAAATGTGGAGGTTGATGCCGGGAATACGACCGACGTTATCATTTTCGGTTCCGGAGTTGCCGGTGCTGCGCTTGCTTATACACTTGGAAAGGTCCCTGCATCACTCATGTTCCCTTGATTACGTCTTTTCTTTTATAAAACTTTCGATTATTTTCTTTGTATTTTCTACTGATAACATGTTTTTTTTTTCAGATTCAGGATGGACGGCGAGTGCGTGTGATCGAGAGGGACTTGAATGAGCCTGACAGGGTCGTTGGTGAGCTTCTGCAACCAGGGGGATATCTTAAGTTGATTGAATTGGGACTTGAAGGTACCGAAAGACACTTGTTCATCTGATCCATGTTATCTTTTTAAAGGTTTTTTGACATTGTTTTTCTTGTTCTTTCAGATTGTGTAGAAACGATTGATGCTCAACGAGTTTACGGTTACGCTTTGTTCAAAGTTGGAAAGAACGCGAAGTTGTCGTATCCACTCGAAAACTTTCGATCCGATGTTGCAGGAAGAACCTTTCATAATGGACGTTTCATTCAAAGGATGCGGCACAAAGCTGCTAATCTTCCGAAGTAATGATGTCTGTTACTTCTTTTGTGTATGTTGTTATCTGACCCTCTTATTTTTTTCGTAAAATATTCGTATTCGACGTGTTTTTGTATTCGTTCCCATTTCACAGTGAGTCTAGAGCAAGGATCGGTCACATCTCTGTTAGAAGAAAAAGGGACCGTCAAAGGAGTTCAGTACAAAACTAAGGGTGGTGAAGAGTTCTCAGCCTATGCTCCCCTTACTATTGTGTGTGACGGCGGTTTCTCGAATCTGCGGCATGCTCTTTGCAACCCCAAGGTGAGGAATCCCTCATCGGAATCTTGCGTTAAGGAAGGGTGTCTGGTTGACTACATAAAGATGTTTGTTTTTCGATTTAGGTCAATGTCCCTTCGTGTTTTGTCGGTTTGATTCTGGAGAACTGTGAGCTTCCACATGGGAATCATGGACATGTTATATTGGCAGACCCTTCACCTATCTTGTTTTCCTATTAGCAGCACAGAGGTTCGTTGCTTGGTCGATGTACCTGGCCAAAAAGTACCATCCGTTCCGAACGGTGAGATGGCGCATTACTAGAAAACTACAGTGGCTCCTCAGGTACTCGTGCCTCTCGCTTATCACTTCGGTTTATCTGTTACGAGCCGAATCATAGTGTTCAATTCTGGTCTGACTTCTAACCAAGTGGATTATGCATATCAGATACCTTCTGAACTGTACACTGCTTTTATCACAGCAGTCAATAAGGGGAACATAAGAAGCATGCCTGCAGCTCCGCTGCCGACTCCCGGTGCACTTTTAATGGGGGACGCGTTCAATATGCAACATCCTTTGACCGGAGGAGGGATGACTGTTGCACTATCTGATATTGTTCTCCTAAGAGATCTTCTAAGACCACATACTGAATGGCATTGGTTTATGATCTGCAGCCAGTGGCATCCACCATAAACACATTGGCTGGTGCCCTATACAAGAAGGTCTTTAGTGTCTCGCCTGATGCAGCAATGGAGGAGATGCGGGAAGCATGTTTCGTCTACTTGAGCCTCGGAGGCTCATTTTCAACCGGACCTATATCTCTACTCTCTGATATAGGTCCCCATCCCATAAGCCTAGTGATACATTTCCTTTCCGTGGCAATATATGGTGTTGGCCGTTGGTTACTTCCATTTCCTTCCCCAGCACGCATCTGGACGGGGGTTCGACTGATTTCGGTCTGTATCTTATCTTCTAAACCTTGTCGTTTTATATGACCTCGTTTTCGTTTCCTTTACTGACTGTTTTTTCGTTTATATTTCCAGGGTGTCTCGGGCATTATTTTCCCTATTATCAGGGCAGAAGGAATTAGACAAATGTTTTTCCCTGCAACTGTGCCAGCATATTACAGAGCTCCTCTGGTTGATTAAATGGATGGAAGTATGAAAATTAAGAACAAGCCAATTGTTTTTACAAGCAAAAGAATTTGTATTTGCAGTTTCATTTTCCTCGCTACCAAACACAGAGTTGGATAATCAGCCACTTTTGTTACTTTTTCTAGCTAAGAAACAAGAAACTAAACTATAAATTCCTATAAAATGCAAGCACTTATTTATGTATCTGAAAAACCAGATTCAGTGAATGTTACAGCACAAATGCTCTCCATTCTCGGCATAGAATCCGATACGATATAACGAGTAATGCTACTAACAGAACAGAGACTAAATCATAAACCAGATGGCATTTCATTTCGGGACTAAAATCGAGGCAACAGGTCAAATGCTATTTGATTCAATTGTAAAGATGCTTGAATCTTCGGCAGGCTTCCAAGACATTCTCCCGGTGACCAAATGCGCTGACCCTAATGGAACCTTCACCGCCGGGTCCAAAACCACTTCCAGGTGTAGTGACAATGTGGGTCTTCTTGAGTATCTCGGTGAACACATCCCACGAGTTGCGGCCAGGAAAGTGGACCCACACATATGGTGCATTCTGTCCTCCATACACTTTAAACCCGAGCGAGTTAAATGTCTCTACTATAATCTTGGTATTTTCTTTGTAAAAACCAATCACCTCTTGCATTGCCTGACGAGAAACGAAAATCCAAAATCAGGATGACAGCATTCACAGAATATGTTTTAACAATAAAGCCAGGCAAGGACACTAACCTCAAGCCCTTCAGGTGAAAGGCAAGCCAAGCCACCAGCTTGGGAAATGTTAGACGCACCATTAAAGCAAGTGCAAACAATACGGTTGAAGTCCTTGGCAACACGAAAACCATCCGAGAAAAGAAGCTGTTTTGGAACAACAGTCCAACCGAGACGAACTCCGGTAAATCCAGCATACTTACTAAAGGAAGCTGTTTCAATTGCAACCTAGAATACCGATAAGGAAATTTACACGTCAAACATATAGTCAACTCCAGAATT